ATATGTTTCTGTATCAATAAAACAATAAAACAGGCCCTGGTGGCTCAATTTCATATAAATAATCAGTTTACTTTTGCGTGTGTATTCTTACCGATGTATGCTAACCCACATATGATTGATAATTTTTAAAAATTGGAATGAACACTTAATGTTTTTATTTTGAATATATCCGCATTTTATGTAAAACGATGGCAGATTCACAAACTACAATTGCTTCGTTAAGAGAATTAAATTCTAAACTCACAGTCGAGATTACCGAACTTAGAAAGAAGTATGCTAAGACTGAGGCTGAAAAGGCTGAACTTGAGGTTAAGAATACTGAGCTTTTAAAACGGATTATGGAAGAAAACAGCAAACGCGAAGCTGATCATACAAAACTTAAAGAAGATACTACTAGCCTCAAGACCAAAAACACTGAGCTTAAAGCCGAAGTAGCGAAATTAAGACATGATATTGAGGAAATCAAAAAGAAAGATCAAACCATTACTAATACACAGGATGCATTTTCTACAGAAGAGATTTCATCTACTTCATCTGATAATGTATCAAATTCTAATGAACTTAATAATATTTCAAATTCTGATGTATCCGATAACACTTTTTCAGAAACTAAATCTTTTAAAGATAGGGAGATCGAATTTCTGGAACGGGTACATAAAGAAACTGTTGGCAAAGAGATAAGAGAGAGAAATCAGGAAAAAAAGCTTCGGGAGAGACATAGTCTCGAGGCTTTGCCTCATCAAAATCCAGACTTATCTTTGGACAACAATACATCTAATTTATCTTGTGGCTCAAAAACTGCCTCCTTAGAGAGGGATGAGCAAATTCATGTAATTTTAGCAGAGTCAGAATTTCTAGAAACTGAAATATCTAAATTGGAACAAGACAATAGCACAATAAATGACAACCCAAGTCGTAATCAGGCACAAAGTATCATTTCTTCTGAAATAAATATTATGACCAAGCATCAACCGTGCGACCCGGGGTCGCACCCTCATGTGACTGAAACTAAAAACGATTCAATTCAGAAGGATAGCTGAATTGAGATGCAAAAATTTATACAAGAATTATATTTGGAACCCATATCAGAGGAATCAATTGAAGTCATCAAAAATAAAGAGCTGGATATATCAGATCACAATGAAAATGACAAACATATTGTTATCGAATTGGCTCATTTATATCAAAAAGCAAGAAAAGCTAAAAAGAATACTATCTATGCTAAGCAAGAAGAAATTTTAAGCTGGTATTATTATGCGGAAGGTTTCGAAAGGAGGGTTAATGATAATTTATCTATTTGCCGAAATAATAAAAGAGCAGATGACTTGGCAAGAATTCAAGTTTATGATGAAATTTGGAATTGTCTTTCTGGTGTCTCACGTGAGAATTTCCGCAAGCAAACTCAAAGAGCTTGTAAGATTTATAAATTATTTAACGGTTTAGGAAAGGATAAGATTAAACGGGTTAAATCTTATAGTGCGAATGGAATATCAAAACTCTCTAACTCGCAAATTCAATATATTATAGAACATTTTACCAAAGAATCCCGAAATAGTAAGGATACTTTCACTTCTAACAAGGTGGAATGTGTACCATGTGACCTCGGGTCTCACCCTTATGTGACTAAATCGTCTAACTCAAATAATTTAGCGGAAAGTAAGGTAAGTGCATCATCTATATCTCCATCTAATCCAACTCGTGATCATGTTTATTTCCATAATAAAATATTAAAGCAATATCCTAATTTATGCCAAGAAGGTAGTGATGGAAATGATGATTATTACGGAATCAATGATAAATCATTATGTCCGCTATGTAACTTGGATCATGATAATGAAAATGGCATAGAAGGCAGATATGAAATTGGATCTTATAATCTTAAATGTGAACAGTGTGGAATTGAAATTGAGGTAACAGCATAAACCCTGCCTTCCCTTAACTATAGTTAAGGGCCGGCTTAGCCAGAAAGTAAGTGATCACTATATGTACTTGCATTTAAACAGAAGCTAATCACTTTTTTTTTCTTTTTTTCGAATTTATGAGAAAAAAGGCTCTGAGGCATATTTATTTTTCTCGGCTATTATCAATTTAAAGAGATGTGCAGTCATATAAAACAGCAACATGAATACAACCAAGTCCAATAAAACATTAACTCCCGAATATTTGGATTGGCAAGCTAAATTAACCAACTTACCAAGCATTTTGACGGATAAAATTCGTTCTAGGTTATACAAAAGATATAATAAAAAAACTGGTCATGATCCTTGGAAAAATACCGAAACTTCTAGATCCTCACAAATCGAAAATGCTGACAATCATCTTTCACGAGACTGTATTATTAAGATTTTTAAGTTTCCAGAAGAGAAAAATATGATTATTGAAACAGTACATAAATGTTTCCTTTTCTTGTCATATAATAATTCGAATACATGGTATCGAGATGTTTTTAAATTTACTAACCCTAAAGCTAAATGCCTTGTATGTAAGAATGAGCATCCACATCGAGGAATGTGGGGAGATTGGAGTTGTCTTGGTAAAAATAACTACTATTCTCTTAAATACCCTTTCGATGCCTATGAGAAAGAAATATTAATTGCTACACAGAGTTTGCCAGAAATTTGGGTAAGTACTCCACCTTCACCTCAAATTCCAAAAATATCCAATGCCCCGATGCTCCTCCCATTCAAGAAGATGCTATCGAAAGAGAAACATAAAGAGGTTATTAACAAATTAACCATACATTTCACTAATTCTCCAAAGTTAGACCTATATTTTAGTATAGATAAGGAAGGTGAGCATTAGGTTGATGCCTATTGGGTTCTTGGTTCGCTTTGTTCACTATGTAGGGAAAATCATATGAGTTTGCAAGGTAAGTGGTGGCTTGATAATCAAGGTAAAAAGATATATTATTTGCATTGCACTAATTTAAAAGAGCCAGGAATTTCTCTTGATGATGTACTAGAAGCTTATCCCGAAAATTCAAAATTAATTCAGGAGTTAAAGACTCAATGCTACACATTACCTATTCCTTGAAATAACGCTCTTAAATTTCCGAATAAAAGCATAGCAGTGGAAGCATGATTGTAGATAGGTCTCTGCAGATAAGTATCGTAATTAATTTTAGACACAAAGTGACATTTCTACCGAAATAAATTCTGACTAATTTTTTGTCTACAATCGTGTTAAAATAAAAAATGGCGAGCCCATAGGACCCTCTTTATTTCATAAAAATTATTGCCGGAATGACAACAGACGAATAAATATATATATATATATATATATATTTATTTATATAATAAAATAAAAAACAAAAAAAATATATATATATCGCAGTTACATAGTGCGAATACAAATAAAAAAAAATAACTCATTATCCCCACCATTACGGATTTACAAT